TTTCTTAAAGCTTTTATCCTTTTAACAGCTTTCAATATTTGTAAACGATTAAACATACTAAGCGGGTTAAATAATATTAAACCCGTAAAAATTCAACGTTCGGATATGAGTTAAAATACAAAGAAATTTAATCCTTAGCGAAGTCTGTGATTATTGTGAAACATTGAGTAGCGAAACTACTTACCAATAAAGAGATTAGGCAAACACTAACTACAGAGCTGAAAATGTACATGTACTTCCCACGTTTCACAAAATGTTGGAGGCTAAATCACCGTGTTATATAGTTTATATCCGTAAATCCTTTACTATTATGTCGCACATCTATAACATGGAAAAATTTCTGATCCCGTCGAGTTTAGCTGTCAGTTCTTTTGGCTAAACAATCCCTACAGTTGGCGACAATATTCGAAAATTCTTCTCTTGGCATTGGCCTTTTAGCCAGCAACCCAGAGCAAGAGCAAGAGCAACGAAAATGAAGCAGAACAGAGGCGTTGCTAAATTTATTCCAGCATGAACGAAAACAGGAATATTGTGACTTTGTTTACATTTTCATTTCTATTAATCCAAAAAGCGAATTTTTCATTGACAAATTGAAATATATCAGATGAGGCGTTCTCTCGGATCCAAGATACCGAGTACTTAGGACGAAGTAAGTGAACACTGAAGTTAAGTGGTAATAAAGGAATATATAAACTAATAATGAAATTACAGAGAGAAATGATCTTCTCTACAATCTAATTCCGTCATTTTGAATGCCTTAACTCGCGCACGCGTAGACTAGTGTCCTTAGCAAACAGAGACTAGTGCACTTGGCAAAGTGATGAAGGTTGAAAGATGAAACTAAAGAATTATACCAAGAAAGAATAGTTGGGGATCAAAGCCAAGTAACTGATGTTATCATGCATAAGGCCTGTATCATGCAACATGCATCTTTTGCAAATGACCTTGAACTAATATAAGCAGGTTGTCTGCTGGAATTCATCTTATGCATTGCGAATTGAAGTAAAAGTTACTTTTTTCTTTATTTTTGCTTATGGATGACGTAACATCCATGAGCTTAGGAGGCAGTCGAATGGCACTCACTCGATTCTGATTAATTTGTTCATTAACTTGAACTAAACAATTTTCTCCTACCTCTCCTACTAAGTATTGTTTTTGTCCAAGAGTGTTCAGTCGTCTCCAGGAAGGTTTTTTACGAGGGGAGACTAGAAAGGAGTACATTTTTTTTTATCAGGTCCAAAGTCCGCTGCGCAGCTCAGATGGACAGACGCCCCTCAACGACAGGGTATCCATACTGAGTCGTTGGCCTAAACACTTCCAGACTCTCTTCAGTGCAAAACGAATTGTCTATGACTCGGCAATTCTCCGAATCTCCCAGCAACCAGTAAAAGCGGAACTGGATGAGCCATCCTCTGTTGATGAGACTGTAAAGGCCATCAAGTAACTGAAGAGTGTCAAGGCTGCCGGACTTGACAGAATCCCACCAGAGATTAGTAGCTTGTAGGTCCAGCATTACACTCCTAACTCCACGAGCTCTTTGCCTGTTGCTGGGATCAGGGTAAACTTCCACAAGACATCCGCGACGCAGTCATCATTACATCTCTATAAGAACAAAGGGAAAAGTCGGACTACAGAGGAATCACTCTGCTCTCCATTGCAGGAAAAATCCTAGCAAGGGTTCTTTTGAACAGAATGGTGTCTTCCATCGCTGTAGCTCTCCCAGAGGGCCAGTGTGGATTTAGAACCAACGGACGCTCTACTGACATAGTGTTTGTCCTCAGACAGCTACAAGAAAAGTGCCGAGAGCATAAAAAAGGCCTGTATGTAACGTTTGGCGATCTCACCAAAAGCGTTTGACACGGTGAACAGAAAAGGACTGTGGAAGATCTTGGAGCGACTCGGCTGTGTCCCCCAAGTTCCTCAGCACAGTCATCCAGCTGCGCGAAGACCAGCATGGTCAAGTCAGGCTCAACACTGACCTCTTACGCCTTTTACAATCACCAACAGTGTGAAACAGGGTTGCGTCCTGGCACCGACTCTCTTCTCCATCTTCTTCAGCACAATGCTCAAGCAAGCCACTCAACACCTTCACGACGAAGACCTCGTCTACATCTGCTACCACCTTGACGGCAGCCTTTTCAAACTCAGGCGACTTCAGGCCCACACGAAGACCATGGAGCAACTGATCCGGGACCTCCTCCTCGCCGACGACGCCACACTCGTTGCACACACAGAAAAGCCTTGCAACGCCTAACTTCTTGCTTTGCAGTGTCTGCCGAGCTCTTTGGTCTCGAAATCACGAAATCACCCTGAAGAATACGGAGGTCCTGCACCTCGGGAAGTGTATCGCCCCCTGCACATCAAAATTGACGAGGACGAGATACAGTCGATAAAGAGATCGACAACAGACTGCTGGCCAAGGCAAACAATGCTTTTTGAAGCGTGCAGTGTGTGGAACCACAAGCACCTGAAGAAGGCTACCAAGATCAGTGTGTACAGAGCCATCGTGCTTTAATGTATGGCTCTGAGTCGTGGGTCACCTATCGTAGCCACCTGCGACTCCTCGAGCGCTTCCATCAGCGCTGTCTCGGCACCATTCTCAATATCCACTGGAATGACTTCGTCACCAATGTCGAATTCCTCGAACAAGCGGAGCTCTCCAGCATCGAGGCCATGCTGCTGAAGTCACAGCTACGTTAGGAAGGACATATCTCCAGGATGGAAGACCACCGCCTGCCAAAGATCACTAGTGGCCAGCGCGACGGAGGGACTCCAAAGAAGCGCTTCAAAGACACCTTGAAGAAAACTCTTTGTGCCTGCCACCTTGACCACAGCCAGTGGTCTATCCTTACAGCAGACCGCGACACTTGGCGTCACACCATCCACCAAGCTGTCTCCTCGTTCGAAGCCACCCGTAAGGCAAACATTGCGGAGAAAAGACGCTGGAGAAAGAACCGCGAAGCTGCAGCACCAAACCTTGATCCATCTTTCATCTGCAGCCGCTGCAACCGGGCCTGCCGGTCACGCATTAGCCTAACCAGCCTCGAGAGCGCCTGTAGTCGACGTGGACCACCCCCTTCATGAACTTTGCTCGTGAAGCCAAGCCATGATGATGATGATGATGATGATGACGATATTCACAGAAGTGATGACGTAAGTCCGATGTAAATCGTCCAGTTTATACGAATCGTAAACTTTCACCTCATTACTGGCGATGTATACTGAACTGCAATGTATTAGCACCTTCTTTTCTACGTCAGTGGAAATCATGTGCGTTCTACCTAACTGAAGTTTTATTACATTCATTCTTCCATTGAATTGTGGTCATATGAATTACTTTTTATTGCATTCTTAGCAGAATCATTCCGTTAAACCGATTTTCCCGTTGCCTCTAGTTCGTGCCAGCGGATTTATTCCTTACATCTTCTATTACACAAAAAGTTGAATCCCATTAATTTCTTAATTTTTCAAAAGTTACGTAAGGATTGAGAGAAAAAAGGTGTTTACTTTTCTTATTTTGCGAGACGGTTACCGTGATTAAGGCTATGAAGATAATACTATTTTGGAATAAGTTGTTTTTTTAATTTGCATTGTTAACAAGATATTTTTTCACTAAAGGTCATCTTAGATAAACAGTTCTCGTAATGGTGTGCAGCCAAGCGCACCCTTTTGTCATCAAGGTGGGAAGCATTTATATACTTAAAGGTAATCATCTACAACGACTTTGAGTCATCGCTGAACCGGATAAACTTTCCTCCATTTGAAGTCTCCATGGAAACGATATAACAAACGGCTCATGTGACAACCTTGTTCGCGTCGCGATTAGTGTCTTGTTGGTTGACGCTTTCCTTTTTAGACATAATTATACATTTATAACCATAAGGAAAACAGATTTGCCTCTCCTCGCATGTCCAGTTTCCAATAATATCAGTGATAATGCATTGTTCACCTTCACTGACCAAGTCTCATTCGCAGACTCTTGGCAAACCATTGATTACTCACTGACCCAAGGATCACTTTAATCTTAAAAACTGTAAAAGTAATGGACCCTTTCAGTGACGTATTTCATCAGAATTATTTAACTATATCTTATTAGGTCATTTTCGATCTAACAGATCAAAAATATTTTCAAGATCTTAGAAGCCAGGAGACTATTTTATCAATACTATAGCTGTAATTATTCGTTCAGTGTATACGGGGCTTGATTCGTTCGAAGAGTTTGAAATACCAGAAAATGTTGACTTTGAATAAAAATGACAGGAATTTAGTGTAATTATGTCATGTGTTGTTATTTTCTATGGAGGCTACCTGTAGCAGGTTGTTTTGGCACCCAATTGGGTACTGATAGACCTTGTTGTTTGCCTAAGAGGTTCGCTGCAGCTAAAACTTTATTTTGACTCGGAAATATGTTTTTTTTAGAGAGAATTTTCTGATAAGATAACAGGACACCAAGATTGAATTATGGACTTCACAAAAATATTATGGATTGCAGTTTCGTACATGCTGGCAATTAGTGTGGCCATGTCGCTTCATCTACAAGGTTTGTGTCAGTGGTTTGTTTTCTGTCAAAAATCGCGGTTTCCAATGGTTTAACAAGGGCGGGCGCCTTCGGGTCACTGACAAAAGCGCTTTGTTGGACCGTTTGGATATTTACCAAGAGTCAGATTTGGTCCATTGCAGAACGAGAACTTTAACTCCCCAAGTGTGCTCGATTAACGATTAAAACTAGTTCTTTCCTCTATCCTGCAGTGTTGTATGGATAAGAACATTTGTGGTGAAATGAAAACAGTAAGATTGAATAGGAAGGCTGGGCGTTAGCGGGAATAAATTGCCCCTATGACTTCACTTATTACAGATAACTAAGTACTTCTAACACGGAGAGCCAATATGGTGT